TATATATTTTAAATGTTTTTGTGTTCTGCTTTGGAATGCGGCGCACTTAGTCCAGAAAAACAAAAATAAATATTGAAACCAGTTTATCTTTTTAAAGGAGGACTTCTGATGATGCACATCTCTCAGCAGCAATAAATGCGGTCAATAAATGTGCTGGATTTTGTAAACATGACAGCTTAGGGCACAATTAAAGCAATTAATTAGCTTTATATAGAGCTGACATTAGGCAAGTAATTAAATGTAATACAGCAAGTTAGTTAAGCAGTCTGTGTAGGGACTTGAAAGCAAAGCTTTCGAATTTATATATGACATACGATATATGACACTGTGGCTGTGCTTTAAAATGTTATGTTGTGTTAGCTATTAAGTATGATATATGCATATATAAACAAAAAATATTTCATTTTAATTTGACTTAATTTGCATGCATAAATTATTTCAACTAAAATTGTTGATAAATAAGGGATTAGACTTTAGGAAATTTGATATAAAATAACTTGGGAGGTAAATTTATTAAAAGATGCTAGATTTACTAACCTAAAACTCAGGAATAAATATTTTCTTATTGCTTCGCTAATCCTTTATCCAGTTAGGAACAATATTTAAATAACTTTTTTTTTTTTTTTTTGGTAACTAATGAAAAATTTTATGATTTGATGTCAATGACTTTTGATTCAGTTGAGAGAATTTCCAAAATTTATATAACAATTAAATATTACTTATTTGAATAACAAAATACGATAATAAAAGCTTTGTGCAAAAATAATGTAAACAACTTTGCAAATAATTAAAAAAAAAACGTTTTGAGCCCGTTAAAAATGCTTATAAACATATTTATCATATGCTAATTTGATATTAAAAACCGTGAACTGTAACGAACCTATAAATGGTTTAGACACAAATCCTCAGGCAGGTGTACAGCGGCTGGATGTCGTAATAGTTGCGGGACATGTGCAGCGATTGAGATTGGTGAAAGCCCAATCAGAGCCTGGCTGGCCGGCAACAACAACTTGTTTGCCCAGAGTGGAGGCAAACCCAAATTGACAGCCGAAAATAACGAAATACATGTTGAAATCGAAAGTAAGAGAGTCCAGCCCACCAATATAAACAATATTTATATAGTATATATACTATATATGCATTATGTGTTAAGTGCAGATCTTAAAGAGCTTTTAATTGCCGCTTTTGCTAGGTTCTGTGATGTATTTGATGTGGACAGCTGCAGCTAATGCGCAAAAGGGGTTATGCAAAAAAAAAAAGGCCAAAAGAAAACATTAAAAATAAAAAGCAATTGTTGCGGCCACTAAAAATACATAGTAACAACAGCAGCAGCAGCAGCAGCAACGTGAGCAACCAGAGCAACGACAACGACATTTAAACTGGTTTACGGCGCCAGAATTAGCCAAGCTGCTAAAGTCACAGCAGCTCTTGTGGATTTTTTGGGCACTAGTCTCAGCATGTAGCACGTTAGCTTTGGTTGCATGAATCAGACACACACACACACACATGCATGCATGCAGCGTGTGTCTTTTCGGCATGTTCAACTCTAGCATGTACAGACATTCCCGAAAAGTTCATCTGGTTGGGCTTTAATTGGCTAAATGCATTCACTTCACCTATAGTTGGCTATATGACGATATAGCTATATATAGATATACATATATGCATATATACATATACCCAATATCTGGTATTTAGAACTGAATGAGTGCTGCCAAAGTGGCCAAAGTCAAGGTTTGGCTTATCCGGTATTTGTCTATGGTAATTGGCCATATGATATAATGCCGTAACTCAAGCTGCATGAAATTCGACTAGTGCTTTCTGCACTTGACCGTAACATGGTTAGGATTACGATGGCGATGATGATTACCGTTACGCTTACGACATCTGAGCTGGAGCCGAAGGTGGAGCTGGCGTTGTAGGTGGCATAGCCCTATTGCCGCTGGCCGCTTCCCGCTTCCCGCTTGCCGCTTTCCGCTGCCCGTTGCTGTTGTCAGTTCTCCTTTCACAACGACAGCGGCAATGCCCTCAAAAGTCGCTCATTAGCTGTTGGCTATTTCGAAAGTCAACCAATTTATAGAGAGACCAACAAGAAAAAGATAAAAATAAAACTACAAATAAAATATAATCAAGTAAAAATGCCAAGTCCATGTGAGCCCAGACACTCTAGGCCTGCGCCCAAGCCCAATCGAATGATGTGTTGACGATTCGATGCGATATTAGTAAACGCTCCAGTCGAGAGACGCCTTAGAGCTATCGTATCTGCCGTTCAGATATTATGTAACGGTATATAATGATTTGTTTTATAATGTACTCACTGAGTAGACAAAAAGCTTTAATAACTTTGTTACCGTGAGGAGTGAACTTGACAAATCAATGAATCTTTTATACGAAATACGATAAATATCGATTTCGCTCTGCTACGTTTTCTATGCCAAACGATAAGTATCGATTGACAGTTGATTTTCCTTGTAAGATATATGGAAGCCGAAACTTGCCCCAATATAAAAATTGAAGTATTTGATTCGACTGGGAAAACAAGTGAGCCGACTTCTTAATACTTGTTCTGTAGTTTGCTGAACTTTCTTGAGGCGTTTTGATAGATGGGTAATGTAAATGAATAGATGAAGAAGATTGTGCTCTTTTTTGTCTCCGAAATCTTCAAGTGCATAGGTCTTAAACTGCGCAAGATAGATCATTCGCTTCTTACATCAGAAGTTACGTGATTTAAATATATAGATGGAATTTGTAATTGAGGCCAAGAAAGCTTATAAGTAGACTCTTAACAAGTGCTGTCAGTTTAACCTGCTTCAGGCTAGATCTAGCCTACTTGAAAGTAGACTAGCCTATAAAAACCCTATAACCATGAATTGAGCGTATTTGGAATTATATTTAGTATATGTTCGTGTTGATAAAGTAGTTTATATTGTAGCATATGACGGACATCGGCATAATATGTGATTAGCCTTTATAGCTAACTAATACACTCATTTCACTTTGTGAGCGGGTATTACAATGCAAGTGTATGACAAGAATTTGAAGTGTGGTTTGAGAGAGCTCAAAGTTGAGTGCAGTCTTGTGGGTCCCTCGCGATCAATATACACTCTTCTCTCTCCAAGTGACTCACGCTGTATAAATACACAAATGTTTTTAGAGAAAATTTGAAATTTAGGTTAAAACAGTTTCAACTTGAGTGCTGTCCAGTGGTGGCACTCCCAGCCAACTCCCAGCCGGACTGTTTTGAAATCTTTCAGGGTGGTCCGTCCGACTGTCCAACTGTCCGACTATCCGACTGTCTGCCTGTCATCACTCACTTCGTCATCATTGCTAATGCCGCTCTTTTTATATGCATTCTGCGCCGCACCGAGCGAATTTTAATAGCCAATCTAATGTGTTGCGGCCAGTTTCATTAATGGTTTCGGCGTGTTGACAAGGTCTTGAATATGTTGAGCATTTCAAGTTTTTTTTTTTCTGTTTTGTTTTACGTTTTGGCTTTTGGGTTTTTGTCAGATTTGGCTCTTTAAGAATTTTAAATGCCAAATGCAGTGCAAAAACTCAATTAACTAATATGCTCTGATGTGAAGCGTGCTGTTGAACGCCCCTAATGCGCAGCCCCGAAAGCGCTTTGCCTTTAGATCTTTATAATAAACATAACCCATTTAACCAATTAGAGCTGTTTGTGGCTTTGAAAGACTCCACCTCCGCAAATGAGGTGCGCCAACAGCCGGTTTTCCAATCTCAATCGCATTGTACTTTCAGTTTCAGCTCGATTCCAGATTTGCAAGCTTATTGATAGCTCTGCCTGCATATACCAGCTTTACACCTAGAGTTAACTGTGAATACAAAGCGATTTGCTGATCAGATTTTTTTTTCCTAACTGCGGTCACTCATTGTTGTCTGTCTGCACTCCTTTGGCTGCCATAAATCAGAGCTGTGTATAAATTTATATATATCTATGTATATATATATTTCTATTCTCTAGCATGAAGGCCAGCACCATGTCAAAGACACCAAGAGCTGCAGGCCCACACACAAGGAGGTGGTGCAAAGTGCGATGTGAATATGTAAGCTGCAGTGTTTCCACTGAACAATCAACATGGCTAAAATGTTAAGAGACATACAGAAGTTGATATACTCTAACCGAAAGTCACTTAAATATGCATAGGTTATATAATGCATTCGACCCACACACAAAGTGAAAGTCGTTTCCTATTATTTCTTTTATCAAATAAGGCAGCATCCACAACCCGGAATCGAATGGAATATGTGGCTCTGTCCAGCTGTGATAAAGGCTTGGCATATCTCGCATACCCGCATGGTAAGTGTATTGCACACACACACACACACACACACACACACACACACACACACAATATTTAACAGATTTTGCAGATCGTGATCGAACTGTGAACCGGCTGCACTTCTATTATCAGCAAAACTGCGAAATATACATTTAGTATATTTTATATTTCGCTCAACCGACACTTAATGTTAATTAATGTTAATAAACATTGTGCGTTGCTCAATAACAAATGGGGTTTGCGAACGAATGGCTCCTACTGCACTCGACATCATATTCATACTTCACTGTGAGCAACGAGTTTGGCATAAATACGAGTATGTCCTGACTGGTTTATCACGTACATTCGTATGACATCAACTGCCCCATCAATTGCTTGTAAATGGTATCATAAGATAAAGTGCAGAAAGCAGCGAATAATCAATATCAACAGCAGAGTCCACCTGTCGTGTGCTTATATAAGACGCTTTGAGACTTGTCACCTAAACGTGTGTGGATCATGCAAATGTATAGTGTACTCTATATATGTATTACAACTTTACACAGACTGCCTGCTTAATTATTTCTCGATTGTAAGAAACTTGTATCCGCGTTGCTTGTGTTCTTGTTCCAAACTCAGAGCAAGCTTAGGTCCGCTGATATATAATTAAAAATAAATTTATATTTTTAGTATTTCATTTCTGCGCAATTCTCATAAATTCAAGTTCGACATGCTGACATTGTGAACCGGGCTTTAAGTGTTAAGTTTAGATTAAGTTATGCTAATCTTAATTTACATCTAGATATGTTTACATGATTGTTTTTTAGAGTACATTTAAATGCTGCCTTTCTATGCGAACCTCATTGCTTAAAAGAAATTCAATCACAAAAAAAAAAATCTAGTTTAATTTTGATTCATTATTTTCAATAGTCTCTCTATTCTCTCCATATATGTATGTACATATTCTCTCTTTCTCTCTCTCTCTCTCTCTCTAACCCTATCTTTATTTTAGTCTTTTTCGGGGTTTGTCTCTGTATAATCTTTCTCTCATTCTCTCACTGTCTCTTCATTTATATTTTATTGACATTCTATGGTTCTCAATTTTATTTTATTTGACTGTCTTCCTCTCTCTCTCACTCTCTCTCTCTCTCACTCTCTCTCACTCTCTCTCTCTCTCTCTCTCTCTCTCTCTCTCTCTCTCTTCCTCTATTTATTCGACAGGGCAACTGCTAGCCGCTAACTCCAAAATATTATACTCGTTCTGCTTGGCAATATTATAAAGCATTTCTTATGCGAAATGTTGCAATACGTTCATAAATTTTACGCATATGAAAACTGAATTCCAGGTTGACAGATTTGATGTCGTCGTCGTTTTTCTTGAGCTCACGCACTTTTATTTATATCGCAAGCTCAGAGTTTACTTTTCGTTTTGTTGCTCTAGAAAATCCAGTTATTTAAACATTTTCAGCACGAGCGCCCATTAGTGGAGGTGAACGGAAATGTTTGGGAGTGGCAGGACGACTATCGGAGAGCAGCGAACACCTCGAACAGCCGTTAGATAATAATGACGCGGCTGTTGATATATGCGACAGGCCATTATCTACATACATATATGGATCAGCCGATGGCCCGGATGAACTAAACTAGCCATGGGCAAACGTTAAGCTCTCCAAGATTATCATGATTTTGGATTGCCGCAGGCCCCATTCATGAATTGAAAATGAACATTGGTAATTGGATAATAATAACCGAGGGACTCGCAACTCCCTTGTGGCTCGAAGCGCGACGCCAGGCAAGGTGTGCCCCACTTTGGGGCGTGCCGCATTTAGTTGTCGCTCGCATGTCAACGCCACAATTACGAATCTCTAATGCTGGTTCCACTTATGTGGCCCAGCTGCTGCTGCTGTCTCTACTGCTCCTCCAGCTAACAATTCGCAGAGTTGACTCTCATGGCTTTGGCCTCAACTTGATGCAGGTGCCCAGCGAAGACAAGTCGCAGGTGGCATGCGTCTCGGCGCTGTTGCGAAAGTATTTCCACTCAGGCGATGCACTCTCCGGCGCCGTGCTCTGCGTGGGCGTCACTCCGAGCACTCCCGATATATTGGACCCGCTGATGCTGGCGCTCAATCATCACCAGAGCTACACGTGGACGATTCAAGTGACTCATCCCCAGGAGACGCCAGAGTCAATGTCCGATTTACAGCTACTACATGAGAAGCCGCAATGCTATTTCATCATTGTGGAGAACCTGGATGATGAAGATCTGGAGGAGACAATCGGCCACTGGCGTCGCAGGCTCAACTGGAATCCGTTGGCACAGTTTGTAGTCTATTTGGCGTCGATAGAGGAGACGGATGAGGAGTTGACCGACCTGATGGTGGAGATACTGCTCACCTTTATTAGCAACAAGCTCTACAATGTGAATGTGCTGGGCCAGAGCGAGGAGAACAGCTTCTACTACTCCAAGACGGTGTTTCCGTATCACCCGAATAATAATTGTGGAAATCGTGTGATAGTCGTCGACCTCTTGGATGCGTGCGGCTATGAGGACACTGACAGTGATAGCGAGGATTACGAAGATGATGAAGAAGAAACGGGCTATGATGCGGATAATGCAGATGAGGGCAAAGCAGTTACTGGAAGTTTGCCAGAAGCCGAAGATGATGAATTTGTGGCCGAAACTAATGCCGACTATGGAACAGATGATGAAGTGACTAGGGAGGCATTCGCCTTGGAAAACAGCGCTGAAATCAATAGCCTCAGTGAGTCATCCAATGCAACAGCTCGCGCTCAGCCAGAGGCCTCCATTGAGGAATACACTCGCGCTCTATTCGAAGATAAGTTCCCAAGTGACCTGAGCGGCTGTCCCATTAGAGCCGCTTATCGTGGTCCCTGGGAGCCATACATATTTGTCAGTGCCGAAACAACTGCACCAGAGGTGGACTATTATGGCGCCGAGACGGCAGCCAACGAAAGCGAGCAGGCCTACGAAGAGAGCATTGATGACTATAACCTGGAAAGCGACAGTCCAGAGAGCCATGCAGCCGAGGAGACGGGCGACTTCAGCAATCTGAATGGCATCGAGTTTCAGCTGGTGCAGACCATAGCTCAGCGTCTGCACATGATCATCGACTTCAAGAAGAAGAGCAGCAATGTGTTTCATCTGTTCAATCTGCTGATCGAGGGGTGAGGCATAAGACATACGGGTGCTCTAAATATCTTAATATACATATATTTCGATTGGGTCAGTCGCGTTGAAATGATTATTGGCGGCATCGGGGAGGATCCCAGCACTAGCCATTTTGTCTCCAGCTCCACGTCGTACCATCAGGACGATCTCACCTGGTGCGTGGCCAGGGCGAAGCGCAAGCACAGTCTCTTCAACTTCTTGGCCAGCTTCGATGCGAGTGCCTGGTTCTTAATATTGTTCTTCATTATTTTTAGCTCGCTCGTTGCGCTGCTGACGGAGCACCTGTCCGTCTTTCAGCACAGTGAGCAGAACAACTATGTATCCATCTGCCTGCGCATGCTGGGCATCCTGCTAACTCAGTCAATTAATGTGAACTCTCGACCTTTGTCTGTGGCACTGCGATTGGTCTTTCTGATGGGCTTCCTTTTGGCCTTCTTCTTTAGCAACACCTATCAGAGTTTTCTGATCAGCACACTGACCACGCCCACTACAGAGTCCCAGATAAGCGAAATGGGGGAGATCTACAACCAACGCATGACCATTATGGTCAGCTCTGAGAATATGCGACATCTGAACAAGGAGGGCGAGGTGGGTGATCAATTTAATTTTGATTATGTATATCTCATATTTCTTCTATCGTTTTCTTTCTCTAACTGTAGATCTTCCGCTACATTCGCGAAAAGTTTGAGATCTGCTATAACCTTGTGGAATGCCTCAACCATGCTACGGAGAATGAGCACCTGGCCGTGGTCGTCTCACGACAGCACGCCCTCTACAATCCCCACATAGAGCGGAATAAACTCTACTGTTTCGACCGACGTGAATCCCTCTATGTCTATCCGGTGACCATGCTGCTGCCGAAGAAATTCCATTTGCTGCCCCACATCAATGCGGTGATTCAGCATGTCATTGAGTCGGGCCACATGCAGAAGTGGGCACGCGATCTGGACATGGTGCGCATGATACAGGAGAAGATCGCCAGGGTCCAGGAGGATGCCTTTAAACCCCTGACCCTGGATGCATTCCAGGGCGCCTTTGCCTTTGCCGGCATTCTCCTGCTGCTGGCCAGCTTTATGGTTGCCTTCGAGTGGCTCATCTACTGGCTGGTGGTGCGGTGGCGCACGCGTCTCCGACCCATACGCTTTTTGCACCGTCGCTTGGGCAAGCGGCAGCGCAAAAGTTAAGATATTACGCATACGCCCCCGTACATCCAGTTGTTGACATGTTACGTACATGTCAGTGTGGCCAGCTTTTGACAAGGGGAAGTGCCGTAGATCAAATTATACAAATTGCAAAGAAATTTTATTCAAATATATACCATATAAATAAAAATATGTTTAGATATATATGTGTGCATATAGAGCGCATATATAGTATTATATATATATTTCATATTTCTTGGCACATTATTCAATTTAAAAATACAAAATTGCATTCTGCCGTGGAATGCACGGCAGCGTTGCCGTTGCGGCTGCTTGTCATAATCCAAGCAGTTGTCGACGCTTCACAGTGGCTCCAAAGCAAAAAATCAGAGCAAATATAAAGAAAGATTTTCTGCATGAATGAATATTCACAGAATTTTGTTTTCAGGTTCTTCAAAATAATTGTATTCCCATAAAACATAATTTTTTGTGTTTTATCTGTATTTAGTTTCTTCTCAGAAATTTTTATATATTGCTCTTATTTTGTTTTCCTTATGGAGAAATTATATAGATTAAAAATAAATCACTTGTTTTGCATATTATTTTTATTTATATATTAATGTATTTGTTCATTGATTTTTCGTTTATTGATTTATTAATATAATTTAT